ATTTTTACTGTAGAGTCTCCCATCTATTGTTCATACTTGATGTGCAAGTAAGTACTTGTTCGTTTCTTTGGGAGAGGGGTTTCTCTAAGCTTGTAACTGTGCTTTATCATCATAAAAACAATGAACTAAGCAATGATTTCACCTAAAGATAGACCAACATGTTTGAATGCATGTGCAAATGTATGTGTATGTTATTGTACTGTAAATGACTTATGCGCCATTCCTAAGTTTGATTTTTCTTCCCATTTAGAATTTGTGATTCAATTGTTTTTTGGCAATGGTAGTTATGCGCACTGTATGTGCTGAATCTGGACTGTTCAGAAGATGCGGCAGAAGCTAGTGTTGTTTTGATGTGATTACATGACCCTTTTCGGAAATGTACAATGATATCGTCGTTTGGTTACTTAAATCATGTATTTAATTATACTGTATTCCACTAATATATACATGCATACATACAATGGTACAGATATTCCATTGGTTAAATATCTATCTAGTAATATGGTTCTTTAAAAAAGATTACGTAAATGATGCAACATATGGAAAAAAGAATGATAAAAATATCAATGGTGAGGGCAGAAACAGCTTGATCACTAAGCTTCAAATTCTTTCCACCAAGGCGATCAACCATATCTGGAACTGATTCCCAATTCTCAACATCCTGCTCATAAGGATCCTCTAATCTCATCTTCATCTTTTCTGCTTGATGACTCGCAGCTTCTTGAGAAAGGGTCCAATCATAAAACCTTCTACTTTCTTCATTGCTAAGAACATTGTAAGCCTCTCTTAATTTCATGAATTTGTCAGAGGCAGTTTTAAGAGGGAGGGATGTTGTGTCTGGATGGTACTCCTTTGATAGTCTCCTGTAAGCACCTTTTATTTCTTCTAAATCTGCATCTGCTGATATTCCTAAGAACCTGTCAGAGGCAGATAGATAACACTTATAAGTCATATCCATATACCATCATACTATGTAACTTGAAAAGTTAACAAGTAATTCAAAATCCAACTTAACTGATAATGAGAATCCGAAGAAGTGGAGAGCAAATTAGTAAAGTTATGACCCAACAGGTTGTTGGGGTTCTTCTTCTCCTTTGGCTTTTTAGTAGCTTCTCCAATCCAACCTTCATCTTCATTGTCCCAATGGATTCTTGTGTCCACTCCAGGTGCAGGGGGTGCTCTGCCACTGCTAGGAGGACCCTGTGACTGGGAGGCGTATACCTTGAGATTTATACAAGTAGTGATTAAGTTTCTTGGTCTAAGTAACAACAACCTTAACCTTGGTGACCCATTTCGTAAGATAGGATTGTATAATAGAATCTTGGGAGCAACTGCGGAAGCCATGGGATTTGGGAAGTGATGAAGGAGAATATATGACATACATGCCAATATGCCATAGCCATAAAACTTGTGTGGTTCATATACACTCACTGACCCTCTTCAAACTTGACATTTTTGTCTCATATTTGTGTGGGTCAGCCTACTTTATCACATGTTTTTTTTAATATTATGGATAATTGTGTGGGTGCCAATAACTATCGGTTACGGGAAACTTAATTTCTCACATTTCTTTCTTTTTAATGTTTTTTAAATTAATTTACTAGTTTAAGTTGGAATAAAACCTACAATTGAGAAGAAGGTAGCTTAGAAACCAGCTTCCCAATCTAAGAAAACAAAATAAGGCTACTTTGAGAAGTTGGTAACTCAGAAACTGACTATTGAGAAGTGGGTATCAAGAAACCAACTTTTCTACCGATAAATATGTGAAATAAATGTAGACCTTCCGAATAAAAAATACAACAAAATTAACAATATTTGTGTTTCCATTACAGGTGTTTGGTAAGAATAAAATAAAAAATATAGAATATATCACTTTCAAAATAGAAATCAATAATTTTATTTGATGGACATGTTTTATATACCCACATACAAAGACGTGACTTTTGATTCATGTCTCATGGAGTTGAAGTGTGAGGTAAGAATAATGGAAAGGAGATTATGTATGAGCTTAATAAATTGAAAATAGAAGTAACAAGGCTGTGGTACTATATCAGAGGTGGATTTTAATTCTGTTGCAACTAATGACCTTAAACTTGAAGGAATTGTGAAATCATAACTATTCTATGATCATGAATGAATTTATTAACCAAAAAGTTCAAATAAAAAGATTTAGAGTATAACATAATTTATGAATAAATATTATAGTTTCATTCCATCTTTCACTGAACTTGACTGTTGTTTGTTGCTGGGGGAGAGTATGCAATCCTTGAATATAGGTAAAAGAATACAACCCACGTTTATCTTATCTTTGCTTTTGGTTTTAAGTTTGTAAGTAGGCTATTTGAGTTGGCCCAACTAAATCATCTCATCTATTTCTCTCTATATGGAGTTATTAAATTGAGAACATTATCATTCAAAGGAAAATGTCTTTACTAGAGTGTTATATGACTTACACTTTTATAATTGTTTTTTTCTTGAATAGTAAATAATAATTAAAAATAAATAGTAAATAATGTAATGACGATATAAAAAACTATTAAACTTTTTATAATAAAATGAAAAAGAGTTGGTTTGGGTCGCAAAGCCCAAATCAGTGGAGTCAAGTTTACAAGTGAAAGGATATCCATTAAGTTGATTCACTATCATTGGTTTCTTCCTTGTCGAAGGGAGCTCTCAAAGGTAAACCCTTTCTTTACTTGACTGCAAATTTGTAAATAATTAATATTATGTTCACAACTTTTCTGTTCAGTTATGTTGCTTTCAATTTGAAATCGAATCCCACTTTACTCAGACACTGTTTGATTGTCTCAGTCAGTGGAAAGGTATTATTGTTGTTGTTGTAGATAAACTGTTTGATGAAATGCCTGTGTAGGTGTGTACGTCTGTTCTTACAATCTGTGCAATAATCTATTTCGTGATTATTTTCTTCATAAATTGTGAATAATTAAATAGGGGATTCAACTCCTTGACTTTCTTGTGGCAGAAATGGTGATGATCCGTCCTGCCTTATTCCGTTCATCCATGCGGTCATTTGCAACTTCTACCAAGTCCTCACACCACAACAACCACCGTGAAAATCACAAATACCTCGAATCCAACTCATTCCTTGGGAGCTGGGAGGCTCCTAAGGACCCAAGGGAAGCCGAAACGAAGCTATCTCTTTTGAGAAGGGAATATGCGAAACAGATGAAAGAGGTTCGCAAGGAATACATTCGGGAAGTGGAGCTTATGGCATTCGAGAAGCAGCGCAAGGATGAGGCTCGAAGAGAAGCACTTAGGGTTGCGAATGAAGAGCGTCATAAACTTAAAGCTGAGGCTGCTAAAGTTAGAGCACAAGAGCGCCAGATTGCACAGCAACAGTTTCGTGAAACCCTTGTAAGTCTTTTATTTTATGCTCTCAACATCTATTAATTATTTATTTGCCAAAGCAACCCCATGGCCATACCCACAAAATATTATTTTAATTATTAATTATCTTTAAAAATTCTGACATAGTCATGAGTAAACCCTTGATTTCACTTCTCCAATGATTATGGTATCAATAGGTTCTTGAAAGTTTTTTGTTGTCAATTTAGTCCTTGAAAGATTTAACTGTCCTTAAATTGAAAGTTTTTTGTTACAGTTTTAAATCTTTTGAGGAATGACAAAAAGACATGCAGGACCTATTTGTTGAATATCTTGTTCACAAAATCTCTTGTTAAATCTTTTGAGGAATGCATTTGTTCGTATTAGGATTTAAAGCTCAATTTCCGCTTCATTTAAATTAAGATGGTTTAAAATTCAAAGTTTGTTCTTGATGCAAGATAATGGTCTGTTTGTATCATGATCTTTAGCTAACCACCTAATGACCAAATACATCTATTATCTCTTACTGTATGAAAACAACTTATGTCTATAATTTGTCTCTGGTATAAGGCTACTTATAGATCTGTGCTTGTTGTAGTTAAGTTGAATTTTCAGTGTTACCATGCAGGACAAAAAGTCGAACTTTAAAATGCTGGTCCATTAATCTTAAATCAAACAGATAGGTTTTGTATTTATACCCTACAGATGATTGTTTACCAATGTTTGTTACCTAAGCAGCATTTCAAATATATAATTTCTTAGGCAGGACAGTTAATATTATTTGAGCCTTTGTACTGCAATTATCTGTCGAATGATACATATAAATTTGTTTTGCGCATCCACCATCCAAGCCAGTTATGCAATTGCCGCTAATTTATCGTTTCTTGTTTTACTGTGCTTGAGAGAATTTTTGATGAACTTGTTGCTCATAGTGCTTTTTTCATGTTTTCCAGTTAATTTGCTTGCATTTAATCTAAATTGTGCTTATTGTCATTTTTATGAATGAGCCAGTTAAAAGAAAGAGCAGAGAAACTAGAACACTGGAGGATGCAAACCAAAAAACATGTTGAGAAGAAGACAGAGAAGAAAGAGTTATTGCATAAACAAAGTTCGATATGGATTGATGAAGGTGATCTTGAAAGGAAAATATTGGATGCAGCTGCAGCGCAACATTGAGTCTATTACACTTCTTTTGCATTGATTGGGGCCTACACTACTTGGTTTGTAGAATCTAGTCCTATGTTCAAAGCAGACTCATTAAACTAGTTTTTTTTTCACTCAGAGCTTCGTTCTAAAGAGGATGCATAACAATGTATGAAAATAAGTCTTATGTTGTTAGTCTTGGGAATTTGGGAGCAAGTTTTTATTGAATTGCATGTTGAAGTGCAAACCATACTGATTTGTTTTAAGTGACTTGGTTGAAAGATTTCAAGCTAGTGGCTGTTGGATTTGATGCAGAAACCCGTCTAATTATAAACTTTGCGAATGAGTTATTTGTTTAGTTTGGGTCATTTCAGACAATCTTTAACTCAAATGGGTTGAGAGAGGTAATCATTTGGGAGGCCAGTAAATCAATGATTTTAGTTTGTTTTTTCTACTCAATTTAATAATACAAACTTTTTTCGTTTACTTAATATTATTATTTTCAATTGCTGAAGAAAGAATGAGACCACTGTAGTCGTGTGAATCAAAACCAGGACCCGTGGGTATCCCGCTTGGGTATTATGTTGGCCCAACAATACTTCTGAATCTGGTTTAAAAAACAAAATGGCTGCATAATTAGATACCAAGATCCTTTAACCACAATAGATTGTTAATAACTTGTGTTTTATTTTATAATAAGGGAATGCATAATTTCATTACTGAAAAAAAGAAGATAGCAGGGAGATTGTTACACCCGACAAGAGGATAATATTATGTGTAATGTTTTTTTTAATATAATGGATGCGTATATAGTGATATTATGTTATATATGATATGAGAGAAAATTACTTAGTTGGAAAGCTTCTATTTATCTTTCTCCTCTTTGTTCCGGTGTTAGCCCTTCATTTCCGCAACTGGGGCAACTCTTTAGCCCAAATCCCTGGCACTCAAAACATCTAAAGACCAATACATGATTTTAAGGGACGAACAAACAAACAAACAAACAAACAAAAACACTACATAGATACACAAAAAACTTACTTCCATCTTTCAAATATATTTCCATTCTTTTTATTCCTTCCCGTCCCCTGTTACATTCCAAAGTAACTGGTTTTTAAAAACAGTTCCAATGGTATTGAAATAGTGATATATGAACAAAACTTGTTTATGGTTGATCAATACATTTATAATTTATTCTCTATTCTCTAAAAACTTTGACATAGAAAAAACGTAATAGATTTTATCCTTTTATTATGCAAGAGTGGTTACTACTAACCTTACATCCAGGGCATTCGGTGGCTCCTTTTCCTCTGCAAGTTTTACAACCTTTGAGTATCTGCAGCAGTTGTCATCACAAATCATTCTGTTGCTATTTATATGAATGATGCAAATAAATTGAAACATACCGAGATAAGTGAAGCAGAGTTTGAAGCAAAAGCTATGATGGTGCTATGTCTTGGTTTGGGTGTTGTAATTATTGAGTGATTGTGATTGGTCCGGGATAGAGAATGAGAACATGTGAATAAGCAAACTGAGATATGTGACATCTTCCCTGAGATATGATGAAAGTTGAGAGGTGAATATATTATTAAGTAACACAACACAGCAGTGGATGAGGTTGTGTGTGTGTGGTTGATAGAATTAGTTTTATCATATTTTTAGATTTTTCTTTATTTTTTTTATTATAAATAGAAAAAAGAAAGAAAGAGATGAATAATAGAAAGAAAAGCGTGTTGTTCTGATGATGAACATGACGTCATCATCAACATCATCATCATCATCGTGTTGTTCCGATGATGAAGTGCATCCTGAGAAGTTCAGGCTTTATGAAACGAGAGCGAGATTATATCTGATCGGGTGTGATAGGAAGAAAAGATTTTACCGTCTTCTGAAAATAGATCGATCAGAACCGTCAGATCTGAACATAAGCGAAGATCCAGTGGTGTATTCCCCACAAGAGATAAACAATCTTCTACAACGCATCTCTCAAGGTAACAAGGCCACTGGTGGTCTCACTTTCGTGGCTAATGTATTCGGAATCGCAGGTTGCATCAAATTTCTTGAATCCTATTATCTCATTCTTGTTACTAAGAGAACTCAAATTGGTTCCATTTGTGGTCACCCTATCTATTCCATCAACGACACTCAATTCATTACCATTCCTCATCTTTCTATTCAATCCGATTTAGCTCACTCTAAAACTGAACTTCGTTACAAAAAACTCTTATCTACCCTTGATTTGACTAAGGACTTTTTCTTTAGTTATACTTACCCTCTCATGCAAAGTTTGCAAAACAACATCTCATTCGGACATCAACAACAACAACCCATGCCTTATGATAATATCTTTGTCTGGAATGCTTATTTGACACAACCTATTCGATCAAGATGCAATAACACCATCTGGACTATACCTTTAGTTCATGGCCATTTTAGGCAGGTACTTACTACTTCCCTTCCTTTCTCTTCCTACTACTACCTTCAATACTTTATAATTATATGCATATTCAAATACATATCCATGGATAACCAAATAACCATGCTCAATTTCACAGAATCGTCTATCAATCTTTGGGAGGGACTTCAGCGTTTCTTTGATTTCTAGACGATCTAGACACTTCGCTGGCACACGGTATCTTCTTCTTTTCTATATTTCATTCATGTTCCATTTTTTATACAATTCAGTCACCTGTCATGAAATCATTATGATAATTTAACTTAGATAATTATCCTCCAAGCTTTCAGATTTAAATTTATTCTATATCCCTATAACTACTTCATATTGCTCCCCCTCTCATTGGTGGTTATGGAAGTATGGAACTAGTAGTACTTGGTAAACTGAAAATGTTCCAATCATTTCATCTTATTACTGCAGCAATTTGCTGTGGAGTTTGTGTAACTAGTCAACGAATGAACAATTGTGGATGATAGCTATAGTTCCATCGGAGACTGTTTCACACTATATAAACTGTTTGTGTGTGTTTTGTGGTATAGGGAAGGGTGTAGGGTTTCCTCATAAGTCTTAGTCTATCCTACATATGGTATGTAAGTTGATAGAAAACAATGCAATATATACTGTAATCCTATCATGTGCTTGTTGATCATCCAGATGACATGATTGGGATAACATTGTTTAGAACTGCCCTTGTTTACATGAGGCACTGAATTCAATTTCAACAACAATCAAGCCTTATTCCGTTAGGTGGAGTTATCTACATGGATCACAATCACCATACGATCCCACTAAGCTCTACTTAAGACCAAGATTAGATAAGCCTAAAAAAGGACGACCCCTAGTGCACGTTCGGGGAGGGTACATGTATGCAGTCTCACCTGTTTGCAGAAAGATTAGATAAACCTGAGTAACTTTAACTACCCTAACAAAAATCATAGTAAACACCTCTGATAACTTTATGTGGTCATCCGAGGCCAAATGTGACAGGGATTGTCTGGAAATTGTGAATTCGGAATCCGTTGCCACAGGAAATCATCACATGGTATCTTAGCTGTATTCAAAATTATTTTAACAAATGAGACCTTAATTTAAGATGCTATTAGATTTCAAACTTGTGACAATGTACGTTTACCTGTAACAAAATTCTTTTGCTCATCTGTTTGGTTTAAATGCAGATCAGCCTGTGTTAGGACAGGTGGCACTGCTTGGTTTGGTTGCTGTAGTTTCAAATATATAAAGCCACTAATTAACAAGAAAGTAATATATATATTTCAATCTGCATTTCTTGGTAGTTGGTAGCGAATATGAGGATGCAAGACATTGTCTGTTCTTTCCACTGCCACTAGGACCTTGTTGCTAGTTCACTATCCTGAACAAGTCATTGATCATTTCAAGTGCTTCATTCCAAAACCAAAATGAGGTGTAAGGAAACAATTTCTAACTGCTAGCCAATGATTAAGTTAGAGAAATATTTGCCATAAGAGTTTGAGTAGTCTGGTGATTATGCCCTTTTATTATAAAAAAATCACCGAAATGAATTAGAATCAAGAATTTATAATTTTCAGTGTCCAAACTGGAAACTGGACCCCTGTGTGTAGTTGAAGGAGAATCAATTTAAGGAATAGCAGCTGTAAAATAAGGTTGGTTAAGGGAATCATGGAACATGACTACTAAACAATTTAGGCTCTGTCTAAAAAATGTACCTACTTTGACAGATTTGGTTCTCCATGTATTACAATAATTTATTTTTTCATGTTTTAGAGCTGGGAATTCCTTTTACGCGGGTCAATTCTATGAGGATTTGGTAGTTTCTAAAACTATGTTCACCTCGGGACTTTCTTCAACTAAGTGTCATCACGTGGAGTCAATATATGCCTGGATACTTCTTATGGGATTTAGCCTTGATGTCTGAGCATTCACATCCTCGAATTTGTTGCACTTATGTGCTACTTCAATAACAATTTGAATAAATCTTTTCCTCTTATATCATTTTTGTAGGTGATGAATTATATTCATGTGTCTTCTGAACTCAACTTTTTAGATAACATAAACAGTTCATGTAATGTTTTACCCCCATAGGCAATTATTTGTTGTGATTTGTCCAGGGAAGGACTGGGCGAGGAAGAGCAACAAACCAGGTTAGCCTCTTATTCACTGTTTGCAATGGATACCTCTATAAGGATCTCCTTTATTGGAGAGCTTGGGAAGATTTGCTTTGATCTTCATTAATATGAGAAACATGATGGTTTCTTTTCTCTCTTTGTTCCTGAGAGAATTATTCTCATTTTCTTTCCATGAGTCACACTTCTTTCTCATCTCCCTCTTTTGTTAACTCACACTTGTTCCTTATATGTCCCGCATTCCAAAATTTCCCAAAACAACTTACCTCTGACTTAAGTATGTTTTATTTTTCTCTTATTGCCCCCCCCCCCCCCCCGATGAAAAATATTATATGGAGCTGTTTCCTCTTCTCTTTCTATTGGTCTCACGTTCCTTTTCCACTACATTGATCACAGTTATCTGTTTTAAAACAACATGCATCTTGACCTAGGTTTAGACCTTTAGTTTTATAATTTTTCCCAGTGGCCCAATTTTTTCAATGGTTTGCATTTGTGAAGAGGTGTGGATTTGGACTTCCTACGCAATGAATTTGAACCTATGACCTCCCCTTTTGCATTAATTCTAGAATAAGTTTTATAAACTGGAGGCCTTTTGTTGTGTGACTATTCAGGCAATGTCGTTATGATAATGGTTGTGTGATTTTTGTATATTTGACTATTTATAGGCTTTGAATTGCTGTGTGATATAATGTAATGGTTAATACCATATTTGTCAGTGTGCTTTGCTTTGCAAAGAATCTCTGGTGTAGTGAATTTTGTGGCTCTGGATTCTTTTTCTTAGAGGTTATTACTATTATGGCAGGGGAGACTTAATTCTATATCAAATAAGTTGCTATATTATTATATTTAATTTATTTTAATTCTTCCTTAGTGTTAATTTCTGTAGGGTGCTAAATATAATTTGTTGCAGCAGTTTCCGAACCAAAGTGTTGCCTTTGTGACCTATCATCTACATTAGAGAAAAAGCTTACATTAGTCAATTGTACGCTGATGGTGGAACTTTTGTTCTCTTAGATGCTTGTTTTCTTTCATGTTTAGCAGTTTGTGTTGGCTGAATACTTGAATTGGGATATATAATGATAATGAAATGAGCAGCATTCTTTGATTTCATGAATTATCTGTATTGTGCGATGAAATTTGGTTTTAAGTTTTTGGCTATCTGGCAAAAATAGTAATAGGTGGATTGATTTTCTTTGTTATGAATTGTTCCTACAGTTACTTGAAAAGGGGAGTGAATGACCGGGGGAGGGTTGCTAATGATGTTGAGACAGAGCAGATTGTCCTTGTTGATGAAGCTGGCTCCTGCAAGGGAAAAATGAGTTCAGTTGTGCAAATGCGTGGCTCAATTCCACTTTTCTGGTCACAAGAAGCATCAAGATTTAGCCCCAAGCCCGACATAATCTGTAAGGAGATAGCTTAGATGAATATTTACTCTGGTCATTGTTGAATTTTATGCTGTTATTATATATATAGCTCTTTCTTGATGTTCTGTCTGTCCTGTTTTGACTTCAGTGCAGAGGTATGATCCCACATACCAGGCAACAAAATTGCATTTTGAAGACCTTGCTAAGAGATATGGCAATCCAATTATTGTGCTTAATTTGATTAAGGTAGTTCTTTAACAGAGTTTGTGACTTTGCTCCAATAAATATAGAAAAAATGAATAAAAATGAGCAAATATCAATCATGTTAGTTGATTCTTTATTTTCTTGGGAAGGGGTTTGGGCAT